CAAGAGGTGTCCAAATTAGTCCAGGGTATCGTATCATAGATCTTAAATACATTGATGATGTAGTCATTTTTTTTGACAGTTATTATGAAATGCAAATAATGCTAAATAACATTCAGCAACTGCAGCGTCGCATTCAGCGTGAGCGTAAATAAAACGAAAATCTTTTCGTTTTATGTGCAAGAAGCTGATAAAATGCCTCTTTTATTAAATTCATTGCCAGTTGAGGAAGTGCCCGATTTTGAATACCTTGATTCCATTCTATTACTAACCGGCCAGGCAAAAGACGATCAGTGGCCTCTAAAAATGCGTTCTTCCGGTTGACGAAATCGTTATGGAGCCGATTTGAAACATAAAAACATAAAAACGAAAATCCGTAATTCGTTGAATCTTGTTATATGGCTCTGAGATATGGCCAATGAGAGTGAAGGATATTAGGAAGTAATCTGCCTTTGACCAGGTACATTTCACGGACCCGTCGAGCGGATAAAATATCAAATGATCGCATCCACCTTCGTTCAAATACAACTTGCATGAATAATGTTATCATAGAACATCGTCTTCGCTGGTTAAAACACGTTCTCCTTCATCCACCACAGGAATTGATGCATATTTCGTTACTCTCTAAATTATGTGATGGGTGGCGTTAAAAGCGAGGTGGTCCAATCAAGACCTGGACTGCTACTGTTAAGAAAGATTTTGAACGTATAGATGGACTAGCAATATATTATGAGCTTAGACGATGGAAAAAAGAATAGTTTCTATTTTTGCTGACGATGGCATTATACCGCGCCGCTTGGACCATCTGTTTCTTGTGGCCAGTGGAGCCATCCTAACCAGTAATGGTGAGAACTGTTAGAAGGAGATATAAAATCTTGTTTTAATTTTTTGCGACCACATCTATGAATCTTTCATTTATTTTTCCGTAATTTTATCCAAACAAGTTGCAAAAATTTTTTGAACAAAAATCGAAAAATTTACCATTTGTTTGAAATATTTAAAACAATTTTTTTTTGAAAAATCGCGACTTTTATAATCATTGTTTTTTTAGAAGATCTAAAATATTATTTTTTAAGAAAAAATATAGACGCCACGATAGCTAATTCTACGTTTATTCTTCAAGGATACATCCTTTTTTATGAGCGCAATCAGCCATTATTCTTTATGCTTCCATTGATTTTTATCAGAGAATCTCACGGAGTATAATGCAAGTGGTGTCCCACACAAACCGACTTTTCATGACAACTTCATTCCTGTTAAGGACAATAGAACGGATGATTCGAAGCGAATCGCAGTGAGTAGCAATCAATGTACTTGATCACTGCCGTTGACGATGCAATCCAATGTGTACGAAAATAATCCATGTTTAATAATCCAGCAGCCACTTTTCCAGACTGATCAATTTTTTTTAGATATCTTCCTTTTCAATATTTCTTCATTTATTCATTGAATAAGACCATGAACTTCTTTTTTCTTAAAACTTTTTTCCATAAAATGATATTCTTAATAATGGAAGAAATGAACATTTTGTTGTTTTCTTGCATTTGTTAGTTTTTTTCCACTAAGATATGCCAACAACTTAGTTTAAGAAAAAAGAAAAGAGTAGATATTAGGACGAGAGTAAATCTATCCAAAAATCCAGGTGAAGCTCACTCATTTCCATCATTTCTGTGGTACTCCCTGACATATTTGTCTAATTCGGTTGGGGAGGCAGTAAATGCTCGTTGAAAAAATATATTACGGACTCGAACCATAAATTTATGTTTGTCACACGAACACTGGGAAGAATTTATTCGATGAAATGTTTCTCGGTTTTGGATAACTTTTACAAGAAGGAAGCAAAGCACAAAGCCATTTCTGATGCTAAAAAGAAGGAAACAGAGAAAAACTTGGCGATGGCTGAACCTCACCAATTGCTTCAAAATAAATATTTAAAATTTAAAAGATTATTTTGGCTTTGGTTTATTTATAAAAACAAAGCAAAGCATAAAGCGATGTGCCGAATCAAATAAATAAAAGGGAACAAAACATGGAAAAAAGGTGCGAAACAAATCATTGGACTGAAAAATAAACGTTGATGAGAATGCCAGAAATCTTTGAATATTAATAGTGAATCGTGGAAGACTTCAAGTAATGTCATCAGGCACAATGTAAAGATTCTCGCTGAGACGTCAAAGCGAAGTTAATGTTACCAAGTAACCAATAATTGGCACTTCAAACAAAGAAACTCAGCCCGTCACTTCTGAAAAACTGCTTTAATTTCCGCTCATTGCTTCCGATTCTGATACTGCTGAAATTCAAGCGAAGGTCACAATAATAATGAGCACATTTTAAAATAACGCTAGCAAACGAAGATTTTCTTCTTTTATTCTCTCTTTTTTAAGCGAATCGCGATTTTATAATTTTTACATAATTACTTACTCGAATTCACATAAAGTTATGCAAAAAATTAAGTGGAAGATCGGATCGTTTGGCACTGCCATGCAACGGAACTTTGTGTTTATTAATAATAAGCTTGCCTTTGTCTTTCCTGAAGCTATTTGGCTATATTTTTCCGATCATTCTGAAAAACTCTGAAAAGCTCCATGTGTAAATTTTACGACCATTGGCATTTACTTACTCAGTTAGAAACTATTTTAGCAACGCCATTAATGCAGAGATTAAAATAATAGTAATAATAGAAGACAAATACAATTGTCCATGACGCAGATTAACCAAAGCAAAATCTGATATTACTTTATTAATACAAACGCTTTTATCTACTAATAATGGAAGTAATGTGTTATGTGATGTGAGGTAGTGTCAAAAATTTTGAATAAATCTAAACAAACTGAAATCGCATGGCCACGAGCAATATACAATAGCCAATCGAGGAGACCAGAAGAACCGCAAGAGATAGTCGTCGGCTCTCTTCTAGGAAAGTCATTTCGAAAATCGGTTATTAAATTGTTTGTCTCAAGATAGCTAAATAAGATACGACTCTCATATGACTCTCTCCTCAACACCCCTCAATTAATGTACGAAATACCCATCGGCCGATAATTTAAAGGATAGCTTATTTTTGATGTTTTTCTTATATAAAAAATTCCAAATTTTAGAATTAACACCAGAATTCAAAAGTTTTTTAAATTTAAAAATCGATGTGTAGCATGACCGAAGCGTTAAGGCTATCGATAGAGGGGAAGGAACGGTCGGAACGATAAATGTTGCAGGAATATGAAATGTTGGTGCAGCAGCACACCACTGAAAGCGCTATCATCAATGACCGCAGCGTTATCAAATTCCAGAGCGAGCTGCTTCATTGGACTCGAAAATTTACCTTCAACGCAGCTCCGAAATAATGCGTCAGTGCCGTGTCCTCCTTGCAAATAAAATGCGGAAAAATTGCTTGTTTTGGGAATTTTTAAATTTCTTCTTGAAGGATTTCGAAAATTTTACAATTTTTTCCATGAATGCGCCTGAATAATATTTTATAAGAATTTTATCACCGCCAGTTAAGTTTAACCGAATAATTTCGCGTTTCGACGGTTCTTTCTTCAATTACGAATATCGAATAACTTTTCTTGACAAATAAACGAAGGCCGTGAGCTGCGGGCCGTGGGCCGCCTTTTGTCTGCAGAAGGAAGTCTGGTTTTTCTTTATTTGTATAGAAAGTTGTGAATATTGTTTCATGTGAGGAGAGTTAATCGTCCACCTCAGGTTAAGGAGGGAGTTGTTACGCAATTTTTCAGGAGGAATGGAGGAAGAAGTGGCTAAAATAAGTATGTTGCATTTATTAGCTGCGAGTGATTCAGAGAAAGCTTTACAAGCTGTTCGTGCAATGCTTGAATCGGGGCGAATTCGTGCCGACCGTGTCGAAGTTAATGGATTAACTGCACTTCATGTTGCCGCTGCTTATGATAATCGAAATATGTGCAAATTATTACTTTCGTTTGGTGCCAATCCATTGCAAAAAGATGATTTTCAAAGGTATTTTATTTTGATTATTTTACTAGTTTAATTAGTTTATTAAAAGATTTATATTTTCTTATCGTCATTTTATGGTATGGAAAGCGGTTATTTGCTCGTAAACTTTACTCTACTCTATTAAGAGGTTTAGTCCCAACTCAATGAATGTCTCCGAAAGTCAGCCACTTCCACGCTAGGAAATGCTCTAGTTGGGTGTCGGAAGCAATTGTCCAACTGTCTGAAAGCACTGCCAAAGCACTGATGTCGGAAGCAATTGTCCAACTGTCTGAAAGCACTGCCAAAGCATTGATGTCGGAAGATTCTGACTATTGGGTGCTTCGAAGAATTGCAGCAGCACTGCGGGATAGAAATCGCTATTGGAGCGATATGGCCTTGAGAACGGCTTAGTTAGGTGATAATGAGAAATCTATTTCGCCTTTTTCACAAAACAACTATGATTCGAGAAAGGGTCCGTGAAATGATAGGGAATATTAATGGGGCGCTTGTTAAGGCTATTAAGAATCGCTGCATAGGATGAAAAAAACTTTTTGAGCCCAGACTTAACCATGAGGCGCCATCTGTTGTCTAGGATATAGCAGATTCGCTCGTCGAGCCATACGTTTGCAATTGCGAACCGCCAAGAAGAAATAATCTCCATTACCCATAAGCTTAATGCCAGTAAGACCTTGAACTGAACTCTTCAAATATTGTCTATCGCCCTTAATAATACACCAAATGTACTGTCTGGTATGGAAAAAAGAAATATTAGGAAAGCAATTTCCAAGCTCACAATTTTCAAGAAAAATAGCAGCGCATACTGCGACAGTTATCAAGGAATCAGCCTACTGGACGTCTTAGCGAAAATTTTTGCTTCCCTTTTACTCAGTAGACTTATGAACAGCAGGATGCTCCCTCAAGCTGGATTCAGAGCGCGATTGTGCTGACCAGATATTTACACTAAGAAAGGTGCAGGAACATCGCTTCAAATACTAGCAATCCATCGTCACTTGCTTCATCGATTTTGCAGCTGCTTTCGATTCGCTTGATAGAGAAGCGCTCTGGGAAAGTGATGAAATGTGACGATGTCTCATAGAAGTTATTCGGCTCATAAAGGTATTTTATCAGTTTGCGTCAGTGTAGGTCTGTGTATATGGAAGACTGTCAGATTCCTTTGAAATAAATAAACTGGTCTCCTATAAGGTTGCGTCCTTTCCCCTACAATATTCAATTATGCGATTGACTGAATAATAAACATTGCTATACAAATCAGTCCAGAGCATCGTATCACAGATCTTGAATACGCAGATGATGTAGTCCTCTTGACATTCATAACGAAATGTAAATAATATCACTTATATCAACAACTGCCGCGAGAATTTGACTCAGGGTTAATGTAAATAAAACGGAAGTTTTTTCATCTTATATCTAAGCTGTGAAAAATCTACTTATTGTCAAATGAGGAAGTACCCGAATTTAAAGACCTTGGATCCTCTTTAATACCGAATGGCCAGACAAAAGACGAAAAATAAAAACGAAAGTCTATATAAGCTGCGTTTCGCTCGATCTTGCTATATTATTATTGCGAGACGTAATCAATGAAAGTGAAGGATAGTAAGAAGTTATTTGCCTTTGAACATTGATGTCCATACAGTCAGACAGCCCTCCATATACACAGACCTACACTGACGCAAACTGATAAAATACCTTTATGAGCCGAATGATCTTCTCTGGGACATCGTCACATTTCATCACTTTCTCTAACTACTTGTTCGCAGAGTGGATGAAATTTCACATTTTCGCAATCGCATCCACCTTCGCTCAAATATCACTTCCATTATCAGTATTTACAGAGCTAGTTGGAGCATGTTCTTTGTCGCCCATCATGGGTATTGACATATATTTCGCTACTTGTTTAAACCTATGATGGTGAAGGCCAATCAAGTCCTAATACAGCCGAGAAAAATTTGAACAATAGACTAATAGACCAACAATATATGGACTTAGACAATGGAAAAAGGAATGGCTTCTATTACTGTCGATGGCGGCATCAGATCGCACGGCTTGGATCTTATTCTTTTAGCCAGTGGAGTCAGTCTAACCAGTAATTGTTAGATGAAGAAAAGAAAATAGATTAAACCACTTTTACAAATAATGGGTTTATCATTTTCCCAAATTTATAAACTCTTTCTGATATCCATTTCCGTTCTGATTAGAAAATTTATGAAAATTTAGATGTGCTTACGATATGGCAATCGGATCATCAAAAAAATTATTGGGCAGTCATATAAAATGGGAAAAAAATCATCGTAATTTTAAAGCATCTTTATTCTCGACTGTACGGAAAATGATAAACCCATTTTCATGTTCTCCTGAGCAGCAGAATTCAATTTCACCACCGATTATCGCCAATAATTCGAGTATTTTTATATTTTATAAAGGTTTTTAAAGTTTTTCCCCAAGAAAGCCTTGTGCTGCTATTTCGAATATTTGAATCTTATTTAAATTATTAGTTACTTAAATGGAATTATTTTTTAAACAATGAAAAACATTTTTCTTTAAGAAAACTTTAGGGGTCTTTGAGAATTTCACTATAGCATTAAAATTGATGCTACTTATATTGCTTCGAATAAATTTCCATCTATTTTTCATTTTCAGGTCAAAATAATAATACACTAAGAGAGTATATAAAAAGGTTCTCACCGAGCTCTTCAAGCAGTTCACAATCGCTTCACTATACTGTCACACATGAAACATTCAAAGATAAATCAAATGCCATTACAAAGCCGATTAAAAATTTATTTATAGCAAGAGTGGAAAGTGGGGAAGAAGGACAATTTAATGGTCAGATTAATTTTTTAAATGAATGGGTTACTGACGACTCAGAATTTGAAGGTATTTTTTTCCTTTTTCTTGGTATATTTTTTAGGTTCTCTTTAGCAATCAAAAATTTATTTTAAATCGTTTTAATCGTTTTTTTTTAATTGTTATGATATTTTCAATTATTTATTTATTTTTCTCATTTATAACTGCATTTAATAATTTTCTGTAGGCACGGCTGTTCCATATTTTATTCGCAATATGAGTGATTATCAGTTGAAGCGAGAATTTGCTGAGAGGTATATATTTTCCATTTTTTCTTCTTGGTTTCTTCATGTCATTATTATGGTATTGTTCTGGTATTCTGAACTCTTTTGATGAAGCCTCAGAATATTTTTAAATGCGTAAAGTGTTTATGAGGTCATCAAATTCAGCTGATTTCTATCGATAATAGAAAATTATTTGTGGGCAAAAAAGCATTGATATTGCAGTAATTTCAGCTAGAAATTAGTGAAATATGAATTCCCCTCCATCAAGTTTCACAAAGCTCCAAGAGATTAAGAGATTAAGTATAGGTGAAAGTACAAAACCATTACAAGATGATACTTTGCTAGAATTATTACACGATCCTCATAAAAATGGCATAGGATTTAATTCTTTGTTGCGATTAATTAATTATTTGAATTTTTGAGGAACATGTCAATCGGACCACTAGTGCCGAATACACGAAAAGTTTATGAAAAGAAGCTTCACCGATTAATTATTTACGGACCTCAACCTAAGGCTGAAAAAAGAAGTTCGTATTTTTTTTATAATTTTAATCTCCTCTTCATTATAGTTGGCTGCATTAAAAATTCTGATTAATTCATCGTTGTTTCATTGGTTTTTCTTTCGAGAATTTCTATTTCCTAATATATTAATAGAGAGGTCTATATATATATATATATATAATATTAAGAGAGAGGTCTATATATATATATATATATATATATATATAAACTGTCATATTGGATTTTGGATCTAACATTTATTTAGGATTATTGATTTTATTAATTTTATTAATTGATTTTAATAGTAGTTTGTAGTAGAGTGTTTGTTGCAGGATATAGTTGGATTTTGGAGCGAATGATGGAAGGCATTGCATATCCAGAAGGCAAGGAATTAAATGAACAAATTTTTAATCATTATAATGTAACTAGTAAGAATAACCGAGCTGCACGAACTGCATTTTGCTATATTCTCATCGGTATTTTATATTTTTTTAGTTCAATTTGAGTAAAAATTGTCCCATAAAAATTGTCATTTTAATCCCATAAGAGAAATTTCAGATCCTTCACTCATTAATAATCCAAATACAGCTCTTTTGAAAGAATTCGTCAATGCCATTTTCTACATCGGTAAAGGTAAGCGGAATCGCCCGATGCAGCACCTTATCGAAGCAGTTAAAGCTACTGAAAATTCATATAAAGTATATAGTTAATACATATATAGTTAATGTTTTAAAATAATTTATTTATTAATTTTTTAAACTAATTTTATATGAATCAGACCGATTGAAATATACTTATAAAAATCTATAAAAATTTATAAAAGTCTTTTTGAAAAAATTTAATACTTATCCTGGTTTTTGATAAAGAACATATTTCTGAGGGTAAATTCTATTTTCATTGATTGCAGAAAAATGCTAAGATACAAAAGATACGTAAATTGTGGGACTGTGGATATGGTGTCGTTTCATTGCATGTTTTCCAAAATATTACATCAAAGGAAGCATTTACGCGCGAAGCTGCTATGATTGACGCAATCGGTATTTTTCATTTAAAATATTCGATTCACGGTTCATTTTATTTTGATTTCTTCATTTTTATCTTTTTATCAGCTTATTGCTTTCGTAGAATATATTGAGAGGTTTTTTTCGCTGAAAAAAATTTTGAAAAAAAAGAAATTTTTTTTCAGGTATTTCCAATCTGACAAATGAGAAGCGAGGGCAGTATTATGATATCGGTGAAAAGTGGTTATTGAGGCAAAAGTTAATCTACGGGAGCTATTTGCTGTCGAGAGCACTCGAAGTTTTACATGTAGAAGGTTGTCGCCAGTTATTTGAAAGTAATGTCGAGCATGTCATTACAAATTACGCTTTTAGATTGTAATTTATTCCATTTTATTGGCATTTTATTCAAAATATATTTTTACAGAAAAATAGTTTTTTAGAACTTTAAATGCCAGTAATTTTCATAAATATTGTACTAATGAACAAAACCTATAAGTATTTAGAATCATCAAAGCTTTCATTCATCCCAAACTCATTATACTCGCTTATTTATCTTTCTGAATCCTATTGTTCTATTGTTCTATTTACTATTGTTTTCTTATAATAGGCTATTTTGTAATTTGTGTCTGAGACCACAATGAAATTGCACTGCTAGGTTTGACGAGACTTCAAAGGGATGGAAATGTATGCAAGGGAACTTCTGAATTTCTTCTTAAAAGCGCTCACCATTTTTTGTTAGGCTTGCAAATTTTTGCCACCAAATCATTCCTACCGGAAGCAGAATCCCAACATGACCAGTAATAGAACGGCACTTCGAAATGAAAGCAACAATTAGATAACATGAATTTGACGACAAAAGGTATAAGATGATTAATACGGAAGCTTTTTGGCATTCCAGGAAAGATAATCGGCTTACTAAAATATTTTATTAAAGTATTTGGCGTAAATGTAGATGATATATGGGGAACTGATATAATCATCTGAAATATAATCGATGCATCAGAGTTACGTCTTTTCAATTTTCAGCAATGTGATATGATGTTATGGAGACCGTATGTGGCATCCATGAGCTAAGCGATGATAAGTGGTAATATCGTAATTTACCTATTTACCAGAAGCATTAGATTTTAAATATGTCGGGTCCGCTTTTACGTAATGACGAGTAGTTAGTTGCAACTAGAGATGTCTTTCGCTCGGTTAAGCATCTTTGCAGTCGCCGGGAATTCGGTCTTAAAACGGGAATTCGCATCTGCATAGCTGTAATATGCATTTCTGTTATACGACTTCAAAATATGGCCAGTGAGAGTGGACGATATCAGGAAATTACTTATTTTTGACCATTATTAGGCATATATCATACATATCTGCCAAATGGATTGAGTTTCATATGGTTATCCAGCGAATATAACTTGTTCTTTAAAAATGGTGCCACAAAACATCATGCACTAGTTGTCACTTTTTGTCTTCGTCATCTTCTAAATTTACTTAATGTGATTGATGATGGTAAAAGAGAGGAAGACCAATTAGAAGCTAAATCCATACAATCAAGAATTTTTGAGCATATATGGAACAATATGCAAGCGTGAACGAAGCGTGAAAAAGAATTGCTTCAATTATTTTCAGGAATGGCATCAGATTGGGGAACATTAGAAACGTCTTCTCTAATCAATGAAGCTAGTTCTTTGATATGCCAGAAAAAGGAGAAATGGACCATGGCCAAAGAGCTTTGGAGGTATTAAGGAAGAATTGAGCAGAGAAGGGTTTCTAGATTTCAGAGCATAACGGGCTAGTTCGAAGCTATGCTTGTAGATATCCCATTCCCAGCCACACATTAGCCTAGCATTTTATTATAAAATTTTTTTAACGGTCCTCACGATTACTAATTAACTGACTTATTGCACTGGACAAATATGCCAGATAGTCCCTTGGCTATAGAATGAACTACAGGTGAGTTGCTATTCATTCCTGCGTGGAATAGAACCTCAGCATCGGCTCTCTGAACTGATCGGCTCAATAACCAACTGATCCATTCTATCCCTTATAAAAGTATTTAAGGTATTGAAGCGAATGTTTTATTTTATTCACTAATTGTTGGTTGATTGTTGAAAATTAAACTTTTTTTTGAGCTTGTAATTGTTGTTATATTGTCATTATTTATTTATTTCAGTTCTAATTTAATTTTTGTCTGCCACATCTCAGTTTGCTTTAACTTTAAAATAATATCATTTCATAATTTCATTGCAGATTTATTTAAATTTGCATAATATTCACTTATCGTTCTATTATATTATTGTGTACTGTGATCGAATTTATTATATATCTTTAAAAAATAAAATTTTTTAAAGAAATCTCGCCTTTCAATTAAAAAATTTGGTATAAACTTTTGCCGAATTCAATTTTTATCCAGAAGTATATTTTTATTTGTTTAGGCCGTTGTATTTTTGAGGTAAAGTTGCCTATTTGTTAGGTTTAACAAGGTTTCAGCGTTTTCTGGATTTCGAATTTGGCCAAGTTTTTTGGTTTTAGAATAATAGTATAATAATAGAACATCAGATTAAAATCCAGCTGTTGTGATTCTATTCTATTAAATAATCGCGGTTGTGAAAAAAATTTAAGTTTATTTTTGCAAAGTTTTCAAAGCGAATTTTAAGTGAAAGATAATTGTTCATATGATTGAGAGATTTTTTTAACCATATGACTGAGTTTAGTTAGTTTCAGTTAGTTTTTCAGTTAGTTTTATTTCGGCTATAACGAGCATCTTTAGCAAACTCATTTTGTACTTTGCTGAGGGGTATTGAAGTTGATTGTTGAATTGGTGAAATTCAAACTAGCAAGGGATACAAGACATCTTCACCTGGAGCAAACTAAGCTCACTCATTGTTAAATGTTGCCGAAGCTCGTTAAAGTAAATAATATAGTATGGAAATTTATATGTCATATTGAATATTGTATTGTTTTAATTTTTTTTGCAGTAAATTATAGACTGGGACTGGATATAAATCTAAATGGAATCTGATCCACTGTCCCGCACATATCATCGGTCAAATTCTTCAAGGTGCATACAGAACTCGTTGGATCGAGATGAGGAAGAACTAAATATTAAATGTGAGCATATATTGCGGAAATGTAGGCTTAATGAAATATTGGAAGAATCAAACTCTGAATCTGTGGAAGTCGATGGTGTTCCACCGTTTGAAAGCTTCTTTCGATTTAGCAGTGAAGAATTAAGAAAAAAATTCCTCAGTGATATAAAGGTCTATATTTCCTAAAAATTTTGTTTTATAATTTTTAAAATTTCACTTCGCTTTCACTTTCCTTTTTGAAAATTGCGAAATGTTATTTATATTTATCCTTTTTCATTAGATAATGAGTTTTCTGTCCAACATAAATATTGGAATATTACAGGTTGGAGATTTATTATTCGTTCGAGTGCGTCGTGTAGAGATTGCAGCTCTATTTGTTGAACCAATATGCATGCTTAAACCATTTCGAAGAATTCTAAGTCTTATTAGAAATTTCCAAGTAAGTTGAAATCAGCCGCATAATCAATTTTCTTGTAAACATAATGATATAATAAATTGTCTTCTCTTTCAAAAAAAATTTGTAAAAATTTTATGAAAAATTTTTTTAGATTATAATTAGTCGTAGTGTTGAAGATGGGCGCGATTATAGAGTGAATGATCGGCTTAAAGGTTGGTTAACAATCGTCGTTACAAATTTTTGATCGTTTTGAATTTCGAATTAAAATTTTTTTCAGCTGTTGTTGTGGAATGCGATGGTTTCCAGGACCTTAAACTCGAGGTCGCAAGTGAGTCCGTAAGTTATTTTTCCTACTTAATCATAAGCCATTTTTCAAGAATATTTCAGAATTTTGGATTTTTTCGCATGCTAAGCCTGATGATAGAAGAAAGTAGTTTGTGGCTCGTTTAGCTTTTTAGTTCAGAAAAGTTGCGATTAAAGCTTTTATTCGCTCAATTGAGCTGTGCTCAGAGTTTGAAATATTTTATGTTTTTTTTTTATTATTGGAGTTATTGGAAGAAAGGAAATGTAGATAATAGAAGTAAATATAAGTAAATTAAACCTGTGCTGGTACTGATATTTTTTTAATATTTTTCCAATCTTTTATTGATCTTTTATTGTTGAGGTTCCTTACTCCGAGCATCAGTTGCCGGCATATTTTAGGTATATTTTTTTCTTTTACTATTTTGATACTTTCTTGTCAACACTTTTTCGGTATGTTGGAAATTTTTTGTTCAAAAAATCCTTGATTATAATTTCAACAATTTTCTTAAGGAATTTCGAAAATATGAAAGAAGGCACCACTTTTGATGAATATCTAGCAAGAAGTGAAGCTATCACAAATCCTAATTTAGATCGATTGTTTATGATCGATGCAAATAGAAGTGTATCACTGCTACCAGAATTAAAAGGTTCAATTGGTTTCTTGTCTTTTCAAAAAAAATTTTTAATTGGTTTTAATATCGTTTGCTTCCTTATAGATTTCCTTATGTCAGCTTCTTTATATCAGTTGATTAGTGGTTTTATTGTGATTATATATTGTGATTATATATGATACTTATTTTACCAAGGTTGAGAATTAAATTTTCATTTTTTTGCAAATTATTATTTTAAGCTTGAAAATGAATCCTAATACGACAGTATTTGAATTAATCTCACTTAGATGTCGATTTTTCTTCGAAACGATGCGCGCCATATATTCGTAAGAAACAAAATCAAGTTCTTTCGATGGATTTTGCACAAAAAGGAGTTGATCAGATCCGTGAAGGCAATTTAAAAAAAGCTATCCACTTCTTCGATCAAGCTCTGAATACTGATAATAAGAATGTCGAGGCCCTTGTTGGTCGTGCAGCAGCGTAACGTTTTTATTTTCTTTTTTTATATCCATTTAGAAAGTTGTTTTCATCTATCTTTTCCAAGAAATTAAATTTTCACATTATTCAGTATTGAAGTACTAATTTTCTATCTACTTTTGCTTTGCTGGATATAACCCTCGTTACAAGGAAAAAAGTTAAAGTCAATGAATTCAAATGGTAAATTGACCGTATTATTAAATGATAAAAATTTCTTTAAGGTATGCGAATATGAAACAATTCATTCAGTCCGAACATGATCTCGATGTTGCTCTTAAACTTGATAGTAATCATAAAAATGCACAGTTATACATGGTTGAAATCCTGTTAAAACTGGCGCAACAGTATTAACTTTTTATTTTTTATTATTCTTTGTTTTAATATTAGTACTATTTTATTAATGTTAGTATTTAAAAAATCCGAAATCTTGTGGACTACTTTTAATTGTAACTGATTTATTCTCTATTTTCATATTTTTTAGTTATATTTAGTTTTTTTAATATTTACTGGCTTGGATTATTCTAAAATTATTTTATTTAAAAATCTTTTAGGCTAGAAGAGCAACATAAGTTAGATGATGCCAAGTTAAAACTAAAGAAGCTTTTGACAATAAAAGATGACAATCGAGCTCTCGAGTATATGCAATCGCTGAACAAGAAAAAGTAGATTTATTCACTGGCAAAATATATTTATGCGCTTGGTAATTCTCTTTAAACTTCCCACTCTAATAAAAAGATTTTTTCTTCTTAGTAATTATTTTATTTATTTTAATATTCAATAATTGATTGTTCTTCTAACAGTTCTCACCATTACTGGTTAGGATGGCTCCACTGGCCACAAGAAGCAGATGGTCCAAGCGGCGCGGTATAATGCCATCGTCAGCAAAAATAGAAACTATTCTTTTTTCCATCGTCTAAGCTCATAATATATTGCTAGTCCATCTATACGTTCAAAATCTTTCTTAACAGTAGCAGTCCAGGTCTTGATTGGACCACCTCGCTTTTAACGCCACCCATCACATAATTTAGAGAGTAACGAAATATGCATCAATTCCTGTGGTGGATGAAGGAGAACGTGTTTTAACCAGCGAAGACGATGTTCTATGATAACATTATTCATGCAAGTTGTATTTGAACGAAGGTGGATGCGATCATTTGATATTTTATCCGCTCGACGGGTCCGTGAAATGTACCTGGTCAAAGGCAGATTACTTCCTAATATCCTTCACTCTCATTGGCCATATCTCAGAGCCATATAACAAGATTCAACGAATTACGGATTTTCGTTTTTATGTTTTTATGTTTCAAATCGGCTCCATAACGATTTCGTCAACCGGAAGAACGCATTTTTAGAGGCCACTGATCGTCTTTTGCCTGGCCGGTTAGTAATAGAATGGAATCAAGGTATTCAAAATCGGGCACTTCCTCAACTGGCAATGAATTTAATAAAAGAGGCATTTTATCAGCTTCTTGCACATAAAACGAAAAGATTTTCGTTTTATTTACGCTCACGCTGAATGCGACGCTGCAGTTGCTGAATGTTATTTAGCATTATTTGCATTTCATAATAACTGTCAAAAAAAATGACTACATCATCAATGTATTTAAGATCTATGATACGATACCCTGGACTAATTTGGACACCTCTTGTGTACCGACAAGAGGGTGTTCATTTAGTCTAGTCTATCCCATAGAATATTGTCGAGGAAAAAAAATACAACCTTGACGGACACCAGCTCTTCTTTCGAAGGAATTTGTAGTTTCCCATATATACCCTCCACAGCGCCGTTATATCAATTGAATCGAAGGTAGACGCGAAGTTGATGAAATACGCGACGATGGATTGCAAATATTTGAAGCGATGTTCCAAAATCTTAATGTGAATATATGGTCAGCTTAAGCATACTTTGGTGGCCTTAAGCTTATGGACAACAGAGATTTTTTTTTTTCTGTTGGAGGCTTGCTAAGCGTATGGTTCGGCGTATCACCTTTATATCAGAGATAATGGGTAACAGATGGCGCTTCATGGCTAAATTTGGCCTCAAAGAATTCTTTCCATCTTATGAGACGGTCCTTAATATTCTTGACCTGCACGCCACTGCTGCCCCTTACTATTTCACTGATCGCTTCCCGAGTTGTAGTTGCTTTATAATAAAGAAGGCGCATTAGTTTCTTATTATCGCCTAATCGAGCAGCCGTCTCCGTTCTCAAGGCCATGCCACTATAATAGTGATTTCTTTCCCGCCATGCTGCTTTCACTGCAAATTTCCGAAGCATCCGGTGGTCAAGATCACCAAACATTCGTGCTTTGGCAACTTTTTCAAACAGTTGTACAGTTACTTCCGATACCCAACTAGCACACCTCCTATTAGCCCTAGCGTGGAAGTGGCTGATTTTCGGAGACATTCCTTTAGTTTACACCAGTATTCATTTGCCCTTCCAGAAAAGTCATTGATATTTGTATCACTGAGATGCTTCAATAATTCAGTTTGAAATGCGCTCACCGCCCTCGAATTTTTTTGTTTAAGATAGTTTAAGATAGTACGATCTTTGGGGATGCTGTTTTCTGCGATTTGTCAATTTTATGCGGATCTTGGTTCGAACTACGACATGGTCAGATCCATGAATATTACACGTTTCAGCATCGCGATAGGAACAATTATCTGATATGAAAGTCTTCCAACGGCGACTGACTAAGATATAATCAATCTGGTTGAAGTGTTGGTTATCCGAGGAATTCCACGTGACTAGATGTTTTCTACGAGCCGTAAGCGAGTATTAGTAATAAAAAGTTCATGCTCTTCGAAATAATGAAGAAGGCGTTCCCAATTGGCGCACCAGTCTCCGATACCATATTTACCAATTTGTTGAGGTCATCGCAACGGCATTATGACGCAAGCATTCCAGTCTCTCCCGATGTCATATTTTGGTAAAGATTTTGTTAGAAGTTGAAATTTCGCATAGAACTTATCTTTATCAGAGAGTTGGAGTGTGGACACTGATGATCTAGATATATTGCAGCGTTTAAAACGGGCAGTGGCCATACGGTCGCTTAAATCAATCAAAGCGGAATGGTCAAACATGGCAATTTCCTGAGCTATCTTGAACAATGGTATAGCCAGTATTCGAGATCCGATGTGAGGAAGATCTCCGACAAACAGGCGATATGCACACAATATTTAGAAAAAGTGTGGACAATGAAGAGTGACTTGTAACGTCCATAAGCATTCTGATGTTCCACGTTGATACGGCTAATATTTTGCCGCGTGTGCAGAGAGCTGTTCCTCTTCATAAGTTTCGAGTAATTACCCTGACTTACGTGTACATTTTTTATCAGCCTTTAGATCGCTTTGCGCCCGGATTATATACTTTCGCATGCACTATCGGGTTGGGACTATCATATCGGAAGACGCGTACGTCATATCAAAAATATCTGACCCTTTCATCATAGAATCACTTGCGGCTAAAGTTACAAGTGGGCCCCAGTAGCCACCTGGATTTTTGACATGACAGGTTTACTCCTGTCAATGACAGACAATTATTTTGTAATATTTATTTTATAATATTATAAATTTTATACATATATATATACATATATTTTATTTCAAATTTTTTGTTTTTTAAATTTAGAAAAAAACTCTGCTCGTAGTTTATAGAAATTCTAAAATTATTCTGAAAAAAGTAGTAGTGGAATATAAATGCAACCGCTCAAAATCAAAGAATTTAATAAAACAAATTGTTTGATTCGAAGAAATGTTAAGAAAATGTAACGAGTTTGGATGAGATGTTAACGAATTTGCTGCACTTTTAAAATAAAGGATCAAAAAGTCAGTTTTTTTATTTTTTATAATTTCTATTTCTAATTGTGCTTTTAAAAATTTTTTTAAAAATAGATTATTTGTTAAACTTCAGTGTTTAACATTAAGCATATATGCGGCTGGAAAAGATAGACTGTAAGCCAGGCAATCCCTCACCCTTTTTTGTTCAAATCTTATATATTTTCAACATTTCTGAAACTCAGATTTTTTGGACGGCTTCCATTCATCTAATCAAATTTCTTTATCATTCCCTTAGAGAAATGTGACCACATATTGCTGAATCGCAATCAATTAGTGCCCAGTTTATCCTTTTTATATCTCATTATCTAAATTTTTTAAATATCCATTAAATATCCTTATATCCCTTTTTCAATCTTCGTTCCTTTTGTTTTCTTAAAATTCTTCGAAATTTTGATACATCTATGATTTCTCAATGTTCTTTACATGTTAACACTTCTTCAAGCTATACTTAGCTTGTTGACTTCTCATGGCTCCTGAATAGCCCCTGAATTTCACCCACTTATTATTAAACTCTCTGCATACCGCCTTAGGATCAATTCCAATATGTTCCTTTAATGTCCCTTCATCAAACTTTGCCTAATCCTTTTGCAGTAATTCCTTATGATGATTTCTGAATTAATGGGATATCGTAATGAGCGAGCATAATGGGGATTTAACAAATATAACAGGACTGGAACTAGTTAAGAAAGTATAATATGGTTTGAAGAGTCTAATTTGGCGCCAGTTATCGTTTACCTTATTCTTCAGTTAATTTAAAGTCCTGTCAGCCTGTAGGGTATGCTTTTGGTAGGTTATATGAATGATCCGTCTCTCTTGATTTTTTTTTCGCGCAGTTCGTTTAGTTTGTTAATACAATTTCTATTGAGCAGTTTTCATTGCTCTCTACTAATAGTAATTTTTTCCATTATTTTTAAATAATTTATGCAAATCTTTTGTTTTCATTTTTGTATTAGAGCTTTATTTCATATGCTTAAAAAAGAATATTTCGTATTTATTTCATTTATAATATTTGTTTTCAATAAATCTTTCTCAATGAGTAATCGTTACACCATTATTTTTTTCAGTTATTTATCTAAGCGGGATAAATCATTTTCTTACATCTAGAAAGAATGAAAGAAATCTTACTTCCATTTTTAGGGATTAGTTTGAATATAACTAATCAAATATTTTATAAAATTTTCCAATTTTTACAAAAGAAATATTTTCTTTGGTTATATGAGAATTATTTACCACTTAATCATTTATTTAATCATTTAATTTAAATATTTTAGATCTATTTAATAAAAAGTAAAGAGTAGACAATTTAGTAAAAATGTGGGAGATAATTAACTGCACCATTTTCTTTGCTTGGTGAATTGATCAAAAGGTAGGAAAAAATGTTAAAGAAAGGCTTAAGAAGGTGATAGGGTAAATCATTTGAATGATTTGATAATCTGACAGAATGGGTTAAAATTATAGTGATGGTTGATTAGAGGAAGAATGAGCTACACAGAATCTCAAACGTTTTTCGTTTTTTTTGGCTTTTGAAAGAAAGTATTTCTCAACAAGTGCTAGATCGCCAATTTAATGGTGGTAATAATGAAAATTTTATGGGTATTAGAGATGTAAACTTCGTTGCCAACGGTTTGAATGAAAATTTCTTCAAAAAATTCGCCATATTAAATGCTCATTTCATTATCATAATTGTACGGCGAAAACGAAAGAATTTTCCTTTGAAACTTCGCATCTTTACCAGATTTTGCAAATTATTAGTTCATTCATGCTTTATTTGGTGGGGAACTCTAATTTAATCTTTTTCGAATGCACTCAGCCTTTAAGGATTATTATT